GGAGGATATGCATAAAGAACTTATTGAAGAATCTGTTCATAATACCCAACTTTCTCATGATGAAATTCCTAAGGTAGGAACTATACGTAATTGGGTTTCTAGATACTCACCCACCATTTGACAAAGAACTCACAATCATTGTTTAATTTTTGATATATGTGCAGAGGTTTACAACCACCAATATTACCTGAAATGCCTGATGATTATTCACAAATGATGCAGAAGTGTTGGGATGTGGACCCATCAAAAGACCACTGCTGTAGAGCTGCTTGATTTTGCTGAAAATAAACGTGAAGAAATACTTAATAATAATAATATCAGTAGTAGTATTATTAGTAGTAGTAATAATAGTAATAATAGTTTAATTAAAATTTTCTAAAATCAAAAAACATGGAATTTTAATAATGATGGTGGTGGTGATGGTGATTCGCAACTAGTACACAAATCACACTCAGATGCATATCATAAAAGTAGAATATTAGATGAGGAGATTGCTAAATCAAAAAGCTTTAAAAGTTATACAATTACAAGTAATGATAGTTCATTAAATAATCTTGATTTTAACTCTCTTCTCTTAAATGCTGAAGGTGAATAAAAACTTCATTGCTAATTATCGGAAACTACTATCTATTAATTATTACTGACAATATTTTTTAATTAATTATAAATATTAGATTCTATTAATAATATAAAGGGAAAGATATTGATGAATGATTATTTAATCCCCACTATAAATTCATTCATTATAACTATTTATCCTTTTATTTTATCTTTATTTTATTTCTTATAATAAACTTTTTAAAGTTTTTGATTCTTGTTAAATGGTGGTATTGCAAGGTGGCTTTTCAATTATTTAACACGTATGGCTTAACTTTTGGGCTATTCTTGTCAGTTAATTCACAATAATTTGGTGCTTGACAATTAATTAGTTTATGAATTTACTTTGGTCCTCGCTCACTGTCTCTTTTTTTGTATACGAATCTGTAAATACACTTAATGGTACCAGATAACTGTAAATAAATAAATAAAGACAACTCTTCTACAAAGCTAGAACGCCTTTATAAAATTCATTTATTCACTTTTGACCGATTTATTTCAGTCGTTTACATTTATTTGCCAATTGCAAACTCGCTTTTGGCTTATTTACAAAACAGCTTAAGCAGCTTATTAAGAGCTCTACTTTTATGATTGACAATAGAATTGCCATTAATCTTTGGACAATACCTCACTAATTGTCGCTAACACTCACCAATCCTAACTTTTGTCTACTCTCTAAAGAAAACAAAATGTGGACTTTTTGCCAAAGTCCCACAACTGTTGCTTTTTACCAAGACAATAACTACACTTGTTGCTTTTTACCAAATCGCTTTAAACAAAGAAAACAAAATAAACATTTTTATTTTTAAACGATTTGTTTTATTTAAAATAGTGATTCTATCAGATTTTATTTTATTAGAATGTTGATTGTGTATTTATTTTTCCTCTGTTATTTCAAGCGAGAACTTGAAGTTGTTCCAAACTGTTGAATTTCTACGATATTCATATATAATAAATTTTTCGTGGATTGAATTAATGGTTCGTTTTGGCTTCTCACAAGTCTAGCCATAGATTTTAAAAATATAATTTATGTATTATATGTTCAGGTTCAAAAAAAAAAGATATGAGCTTGTTTAAGTTCAATTCCGAACCGAACCATAGGAATACTGATATTAATATTAAATTTGTGCAATCATTTTATAGGACTTAATTATATTATAATATCTGGTTATAACCATTTTTACAAATACAACAATTTCTTAGAGTTGTGACATTCTGATTTTTCCATATGATAGTAATAATTGTATTAGCAACTTGCAGGTTCTAATTTATCACATTAACATTTACAATTGATTGGTTCGGTATAATAAATTGACATTATATGAAATAAATCTTTAGTATTGGAGCGTTGATATTTGGAGCACATTAATAGATCAATGTATCTGGAACTTGAGAAATGTTAAACTAGTCAGATAATTTGAATATTAGGGTATTAATTACATTAAATTTTTTCTAATCCAGTAATTAAATAATTAGAAATGCTAAAAAATTTTTAGGGGTGTCATTTTGCATTGCAATATCAGGAAGAACAAATATATAATAAGCATGTATTATTTGCAATTGCTCGGGATTCACCTATGATTCACGTATATCAAGCAAGATATTGGATACTCTTGAAAAATTGATGATGATATATTTGCCAAAAAATTTTCATTTGCAAGTCAAGTTGATTATTCTCATCACAACAACAATAAACACCAAGAGGCAATGCACCATCATTGGTCACCCGGGTTCTAATAATTTCAGACAGAATAACAGAATAACAGATGTTGTTTCCTTGGAATGTAATAAACACTAATAATGTCTCTTTTCTCCATGAAAATATAAACAAAAGATAAAATAGACATTGTTTATATGTAAATTCGGTGTCGCACTCTAGGGGTTTAGCCCCTCTCTGTTCAAATTTATTTAATAACTAAACAATTAATTTGCATCTCTCCATGAAACATATACTTCATCTGTTCTGAATCTATTTGTTATTAAAATAATCATTAATCAATTAAGAAATAAGCAATATATTAATCAATCAATTGACCGATTAATTATACCTTTGAGTACATGTGGTTTCTTCAAAAGGTGTTACAAAATCAGTTTTATAGGCTAATAGTCCTGCATGAGCAATCATAATCCCATTATCAATACAAAATCTATAGTTATAAATATATATATATATATTTCAGTTATTAATTTATTCTTTGATTGTTTATCATAAAATTTTAATTTTTACCTTTCATCAGTCGCAAAAACTTTTCCTGCACGCTGTTCCGCCATTTGTTGCATCATTTCTTGTAATCTTAAATTACCTGCGAAATTAAAATTATGTATATATTTATATATCCACATGCATTATTTATATATATCTCATGTAATGATAAAAACTTACATCCAACCCCTCCTACAATCAAAACTTCTTTGCTTTCAATATGAGCCATGGCTCTTTCTGTTATTTCTACTAACATTGCAAATAAAGTTTCTTGAAGTGAAAAACAAAGATCTTCTGGTGTATATTGATCTGTTGAAAGTAATTCATCGGCTATGCTTTCAATGTATGATAAAATTCCTGAAAATGAAACATCCATTCCTTTAACTGTATATGGCAATTCTATAAATTTACTCCCTCTAAAAAATTATCTTAATTATTATTAATATATATAATTAATTAAAAAATGTAACTTTCTAATTAAAGCTTATCATCTACCTTTTAGCAGATTGTTCAATGTTATATCCGGGACTTGGATCATTTGGTAAATTTAAAATTCTAGCAAATCTGTCAAGACAATTACCGACTGCAATATCAAGTGTTTCTCCAAAAATTCTATATCTAATAATAATTTTTTTTTAATAATAATTAAAAATATAATTAAAGGAAACCTTTTCTTTCTTTTAATTTCCTTCCCAAAATACACTTCATATGTATATTCCTTCTTTCTCTATCCGAATGCAATTACCTTCTCACCTATGTTCAGAATAAGCAATAACTTGTGTATTACCTCCACTAACATATAAAACTACAGGATTATCAGCTTTTGTTATTTCCCTTCCCATTTCAATATCTAGATTTTGATAAATAAACAAAATTCTTATTTGTAAATAAATAAATAAATAAATAAATAAATAATCAACCATCTTCATAATCTTTCTTATAATTTTTTTAACTTACGCCCAATACAATGGTTTACACCAACTATTGGTTTATTCCATAACAATGATAATGTTCTAGCCACTATAGCAACAGACACTAAAGGTGCTCCCATTCCAGGCCCTTTTTTAAATGATTAATAAATAATCCTTCATTGTTATGCGTGTATATGCGAAAAAATTATTACTTCATCAATTATCTTTCTTCTTATTTTTACCTTTAGTATAACAGATAACATCGATATCTTTAATTTCTATATTTGCAGTTTTCAATGCCTCTTTAATCACTGGAATAATATATTTTCTATGGTGAGCTGCTGTATCACGTGGTAAAAACCCAGTTCCTGGTGGTGTTATGTGTGTATGTCTTACATTTGCTAATATTTTAACTTGACCGTTTTCCAAGTTATGTTCTATTAAACCTATACCCAATTTATTCGCTGAACCTTCAAGTCCTATTGCGATCATTTCTTTATTTTTGAGATGAATTCAAATTTTTGTCATACATTTAGATATCGGCCATTCTTGATATTAATATGTATTAGTATGTGTAACGGCACCAAAAATTTTTTATACTTGGACAACTATTTTTTTTTTTTACATGTGTTTATATATTGATTCCTTATTATAATAGGGACGATCTAATTATCATTGTTTCTACTCGTTCTTTTTAGCCTTAGAGATTAAATGAAAAACAAAATTGTTTTATTAATGTATAATTAATAGGTGTTTTTATTTTCTGTTATACCTGGCAACTGTTTAATGTTTTTCTAGTCTTCTTAATCTAATACTTTTTATTTCTTATTTTATAAATTAGAGCCAAAATATTAATGGTTTACAAAGAAAGACACGAGACTCAAAAACATAATGAATTAATAGATCACTTTAATATATTTATACATGCATATGTGTCACTTTATTAAAATTTTTTTGCAGGCAAACTATACATTTATAATATGGCAGCGAACATAAATTGGAGCAAAAATGATCAAACAGGACATTTAGGCTGAATTAATAGACCCCTCTGTTGAGTAAAGTAAAATATATGGCAGGCAAATTTATATACAACTATTAATTATTTTTACATGATGACATGACATGACATACTTTAGGTTTCTATCTTCTATACTGCTCAAAACAACTAAAAATAAACTACTTGTCATTAGGAGCTTCTTCTTTCAATTAAAAATGACTTTAGGCGCGAATTGCAAGCTTCATATATAATCATTAATTATTTTTACATGATTACATACTTTGTATGCCTATCTTATATGGAACTTTGGATTACTCAAAGCAGCCAAAAATGAACTGCTTGTCATAGGAGCTTCTTCTTTCAATTAAAATCGAATTCAGATTGAGTAAAGTAAATGTATTGCGAAGGCTGCAGGCAGGTTTTATATATAACCATTGATTATTTTTACATGGTGACATACTTTAAGTTTCTGTCTTTTAGATCACTCAAAATGAACTAATTTGATTAAAAATTTTTGTGCAAGAATCACACAATTATTATAAAAAGCTTGCACTTGATCAATTTTTGAATTAAAAAATATAATCAATATAGTAAATAAATAAATAAAACTTTTTACAACAAACATCTTAATCTATTGGGGTATTTGATATAAGTTGATTAACAAATCTAATTAATGTCATAACGTAAATACATATATGCGGATTTTTTTATGGTACCCCTTTTTTTCTCTAAAAAAGGAAACAGTGTAACAAAATATATTTTCAAATACGTTATTATTACGTTATTATATAGTATTATGAACTTTCAATCGCTAAGGCTTTTGGAAAATCGTTACATTTATAAAATTATTAGAGGTTTTTAATCAGGAT